TTCCACATTCAAGCTCATCAGTCCATAATACAACTACGCTTGAACCTGATTGGTTTATAAGAAGCCCAGTGTCATGCCGTGTGTTAAGTATATAGCGTGTGAATTGAGCGTAGGATTTATCCATACTGTGGTTTTTAGTGTGCTGGTGCTTCTTTGCCAGGGTTAAATAATAATGCATCTTAACAAGCCCGTCTTAAACTTCGGAAGTCGGTCTTAAATTCCTGGAACAAAAGAGGAATAAAAATGCAACTTGGACGACCTACATCATGTTCGTGTCCAACAAAGCAATGAGTTGTGTTATCGTTTCTCGAGAAAAAAAGTGACCAAAATTGTCCCAACAAGCCAAGGTTTTCCCGTTAGTTTTGCAATAATGGACATTTACTTGGAGATAGCGCAGGAAGCCAGTTGAGGTCAGAGGTCCGTAGCCTCGACCCAGAAAAGGTGGATTTTGGGGGAAATCTTAAACATCATTTTGCTCCTGAGTATGGTCAAGACAAATAAAGTCAAACAGTTGAAGAAATGGACCCTAACCCTACAATCCCTAGTCAGGTCAAAGACACACATCCATTGGTTTTACTGACTTGAACCAATATTAAGGCCCAAAAGTTAAAGTGAAATGTTTTATTTTTTCCTACCATAAAAATGTGTTCTTTAATACTGACCATTTCATAGGAAAAACTCCCTCAAGGTCAGGTAGAGATGAAAGTCTAAATACTGATTCTAAAAATTTGATTTTGTGTGAACAAACACATTTTCCAACGTTAAAATAAACGCAGTCAGATAACATTGAGGAAGTGACCCCTTAACCCCTAACCCTAACCGCAACTGAAAACAACGCACATCCATTAGTTAGTCCTTATACGTTCTGTAAGTAGCAACACATATAAACCAAAAGTTAACATGGAAACGTCTAAAACCTGACTGTCCATAACGTTGATAAGTGACCCTAACCTAACCCAGGTCAAATAAAAGTTACTACACCACAGAAGCAAATGAACAACACAATCATTAGTTAGTCCCAACTTCTATAAGTATGGACGATGCTAGCCCAAAGATTTATGGTAGCATTTAATGATTATACCATGTACTTGGGTACGGTTAACTGCTCCGTGACGTTTAGGCTATTTAACCGTGTGTTCGAGCCCACTTTTCGATATCGGAGCTACTGGTTCTGCAACAACTTTCTACCCAGTAGCGACTCGCCCAAATGTACTCTAGGATAATTGGGCTGGGAGTTTGACCGATATGTGGAGTCGGAGAGGTGGCATGACCTGCTAGTGGAAACCCGAAAAAACTGAAGTTTGCAATCCAGGCAGCCATCCCTCCAAAACCAGGCCTGGAACACTTCCTCTGTTTCCTAAAGCCTTGAAATCAAGACCCCAAGCATTTCTAACCGTCTACGGTCATCTGCCAAGTTTTGCGGGGTAAACACTTTATACTCAAGTACAACATATTCACCATCAACTAGTAACATGCATATTCCCAAGCAGTATATTGTCTCTTTGTTAGTCATTATAAACACGTGCCTTATTAGGCCTTAAAGCATTAGGGCCATTATCAAAGTTTTTCCCTAATACCCTCTAATTGGTGGCTATTTATCTGTAAGGTAAGGACGTTGTTGTACGTGTAGTTTGGGTCTTAATATGCTTTTGCTCAATATCTCCGCCATAATAACACCTAACAAATAATGGTTACTATAAGTGTTAATTGTGTCAAAATAACTCCAAAATGATGTTCCCATATTTTAAAGTGAAGTCTTGTTCATTTGTAGCTCGTTTCTGTTTCTGGTTTGTATGTAAAGCGTCTGAGCATCCAGGAAATAGCGGCTATAAAAATCAATGTATTATTATTATTATTAATATTATAACAATAAGCTAGTAGCTTTTGAACTCAAAACATTTACTAACATTTTAAGCTATTCTTTCTCTACCTGTGTTTTTTAATTCTTGTTGTATGCACCACGATCACCAAGTCAAATCCTCGTACGATGTAAAACCCTACCTGGTAATAAATCTGTTTCTGATTTTCTTCTGACTTCTGATTATGCATGCCTAATTAACAACGACCACTTGTTATGGTGAACATGTGGTACCTTTAATCTAAAGTGTTACACAAACACCCCTTTTTTAAGAGTGGAGCTCAGGTTTAAACGTCTCTGTTTGGGGATGTTTCGTGTTCTGCGGTGTGCGTTTCTGTCAGCAGGGTTGAATTATGGACCAAAAAAGTACGTTGGTCCGTTCCCTATCCTTGCCCTTGCTTTTTCCCTTCCTCGCTTGTAAGATGGGGGTTTCACGTGATGGGTGTAGGTGGTGGTGGGCTGCAGGCGCTTCAATGACGGTGGAAGGATGCTGGTCCCGGGACCTTCAGGAACCATTTCTTTCCCCCGCCCAATCGGAGAGTACTTCAGGCCGATAATGCGCCACTTTTCCCAGGCGGCCGGCTCCACGAGACTCTTCATGGATCGCTCGGCTTCCTCCACACGCCAAGCTTTTACCGCAGCAGAAGGCTGAGAAACAGAGGAAAAAATATATACATATAATTATAATGCCAACATTTTGTACTTTTAAAATGTAATATAATTTTTTTCCTAGGTTTCTTTTGTAGTGCAGTAATAGGATGTATGATATCATTTATTTATTTGATCATTCCATTTATTTATCCATTTATTTTATGTATTCTTTCCTTCTAAACCCCATAAATACACATAATAGATAAAAATTCATGATATGTTTTTAAAAAATTATAAAACATTATTTGAATGCCAGGGGCACCAGGGGGGTCAACGGGCAAAGTTTGAGGGAAAAGAAGTTTTTTTCTTTTTTTTTAAGTTAACATTTTTTTTTTAGATGTTACTAATAACTGTAATAATCTATCATCTATTGCGTCCTTTGATGCCAATCTTTCAAAATATTTTTGTTTTTGAGAATCACATGACCCGCCCTTCAAGCCCAAATCAGAAATCGAGCTGCGCTACTGAGAATGAAAATCTGCTCAGCTTCTTGGAGCAAAGTGAGAGCTAGTCGAATGTTTCGCTCTGCAGCTGGATGAGAGGCAACGGATGTAGCAAAATGTCGCAGAATTGTTTGCCATATCAGCATTAGATTTATTTAAAAGACAACTTTGTTGAAGAGAAAATATTACCCTTGCAAGCGCCCCGGAGCCCTGAAGGTAGGACCACATGAAGAGACATTTTCCAAGGTTTTAGATGAGTACTGTCATCTCAAACGGACTTGATGGTCCTCGTCGTGTGGGTGTGTGTTTCGATGAGGGCCAGTGGGGCCCTATTGACAGGCAAAGAAAGCGGGTGACAGCTTCGATCAAGGTCAGAAGGCCCCAAATGTAGTGGAAACGCCACTGCATGCGTCAATCGGGAGGCACTTGACACATCATTTAAAAAAAATGT